CTACTCAGCTCTAGGCGTTGGTTACAGCCATGAAAATGTGTGCCCAGTATTGCCAGCTTTTTGATTTCTAAGAGGAACAAGAAATCCAGATTTTTAAATGAATAACCTCAGAAGTTGGCAACTTATTTATTTAAACAGCAGCACCACAGTGTTGATCAAACAAAATGTGCTCATGTGTTAGATGCAGCCCACAAGTAGCCAGTTTGCACCCTCTGCTCTGGACGCTGTTGCTTATTTGCAACAGAAAATGTCCTTGTTTCCTTGACGTTTCTGGCAGCATGGCTAGGTTATAGAGCATTTCCACTTTTATATAAGTGCTGTTTTTATTAAAAAGCATGAGTGATATGTAGTCTTTAAAAGGACATGTTTACAAAGAGCACATTGTGTGTAACTGTGCTTGGTTCTTTATGATAATAGTATGTGCCAGTGTATCAGGGAGTGCTGTGGTAGGACTCTGAGTCTGTCCCACTATTTCACAAGCAAATTATCCGTAGAGAAAAATGTCAGTTAAATAATGCAATCTTCTGATGAGGTTAAAACATCCAACTTAAAGTGTTGATAAATAGTAGATTTATGTTATTTTGCAAGGCACCTTACACCATGTTGCAGGCACAAAATCCTTTTGAAGATTTGTATCTATAGTGATGAACAGAGAAGCAGTACTCAACCTGAAATTGGAAGGAATCACCAAAATGTTAGATGAAAGAGTCACATTAGATAAATCTTTGTCTGATGAGAAATTCACACATATGGACAAACTGTAATTTCAAATGCATAAAGGTAATGCTCTCTAAACATTAAACTAATTTTGAATGATAGAATTTGCTTAATGGATAGAAATTATAAGTAGTCTGATTTAAGATTAAACCAGAATATATGTTTTCACAATTTATCGAGCTAAAATGCCTGGTTAGTGACATGTTTACTCAAAGGCTGGATAGTTTAGAAATCCATGCCCACGTTGGCTGATGGGCATCTTAGACCCCTAAGCATATATTACTCAATCAGACTGATCAGAATTCTCATCCAGTGCTTGCCCTTTGGTAGCTCTGTGACCCTGGATAAGTGTTTTACCTTAGTTTAGTCAAGTATATATCAAAGCATTATAGTGAGAATTAAATGAGATCACACATAAAAGGCACCTGGCATAGTGTTGTACATATAGTTAGTGCTTAAGAAGTTTTATTTCCTGTACTTCCAGTTATTTTAGCCACACATAGATTCTGTGATTCTCAGATTCTACTCTCTAACCCCCAGATGAGCATATAACTTACTAGTGAGTTATACTTCCCAAGTAGAAATGATAAAATATTTTGGGATCTTAGAGATGACTATGAGAAATACCTCATATGGGTAAAGCTTATTTCTAAATAGTAGTAGTCTAATTTATAGATGAAGTTATAGCCTTCATCTATGAAATTCAGTAAAAGTATTATTGGACATTTGAAAAACAGTAATAATTATATGTATACCAAAATGCCTGGCATAAATAAGAACTGTTAAATTTTTAAAAGTAACCTAAATTTGGATATGTTAATCATTTATTCAAAAACACATAAATAATCTCATAAATTACATTTATGTGTATAAATTAGCTTCTCAATGAAAAATTGGGTTTTGATTTGTCTTCACAATTTGAAAGGGGAAGATAACCAATGAAAAATAATATAAAGATGAGAAAATCAGAACATTTAAAGGGGAGTGTTAACGTATCTGATCTAGAAAGAGAAAGATTATCTCACTTTGTAATAACACAAATATGAGAGATGTATTATATTTTTTATTTTTATAGTGGACCTGGAAAGAATAATGTTAATAGGATTTCAAATTATTTAAGTGAGATGAGAATGACAATGTAGGCATTAAAAAGTAGAGAGAGACACAGCCCCCTAAAATCAGTAAATTTTGCTTTATCTAAAGCTCCTTGAGAGGAGGATAGAAACAGAGCAGCATGTTCCTTGAATACATTAGGTCTCATCTTATCTGAACTTATGGATCTGAAAGCACATTGAAATTATCTTGAAATAGCAATTTCTTCAGGCCATTAAAAGTTGAAATGTGAGTATGAAATGACTACAAATGAAATAAATGACACTCTAAGGAGCTATCATATATCTTGATAGAAGGACATTCTCCATGAAAATTATTTCTTTGAGTTACAGTGAATAGAGAAACTGTGATGTACTAATTTCCATTACACTGAGTTGACAGTTTAAAAACAGTATTAGTAATCTTTAAGGATTACTGTTCTTTTGTAAATGGAAGATTCATGTAGTAGAATAGCCAGCTAAATACCAGGGCTTGAAGTGTTGGGTAATTTAAGTATGAAAATCGAGATTACCAGTAGTAACTGATTTTGAGATACCCCCAAAGCTGCCACCACTCTGTCACATCCCTGTCCACATGTTTCCAGGCTCCCATACAAAGCTGTTAACACCTGCTTGCTGTAAACACCCTGTTCTGGTGTCTCTTTCCTGAAGCCCCGTTCCTGGTTCAGTCTGGAGCTGGTTTCTAGAGCTCTGGGACTTTGCGTGGCTGCCGAGCTCCCATCCTTGGACTTCCCTGTCCCTCCCTGTCATAGAGTTCCCATCTCCTACGTCCCCATGTTCCTTCTTGGTCTCCCTCGTCTGCTGGAGCCTGAATGGTTAGGAGGTAGATTTCTGAGTCCTTGCATGACTGAAAATGCCATCATTCTGTCTTCACGCCTATTGACAGTTGCTCTGACCTAGAATTCTTGGGTGCAGAGAATTTCACCTCCGTGTTTTGAAGGCGTTACCTTCCAACTTCTGGTATTGCTGGTGAGAGAGCCAGTGACGTTATGAACTTGCTTCCTTTTATGTCACTTTTTTGTCTCTTTGGAAACTCTGAGGCATTTTCCTGTGCCCTGTTCTGGACTTCCACTCGGTACTCTGGCCTGGCTCGTTCTTTGTGTTGTTTGTTCACTTGTCCATTCAGCCCAGAGACTCACGCCTGACGTTCTGGGAAACTTTCCAGTAATTTTTAGAAAAGAAACTTTCATTCCTTTAGGCTTTCTTTTCTTTCTTTTTGGAACTGCTGTTAGTCAACTACATGATCCTTAAGATTAATTGCCCTGGTATTTTAACATTTTCTCTCATTATTTATCTGTTTAACACTTTGTTCTAGTTTCTGGGAGATTTTCTTGAGTTATCCTACTAACCTTTCTATCGATTTTTAGTTTTTTCAGCTTTCAGAATTTCTAAGAGCTCTTTCTTTTTCTCTATTATTTTTTTTCCACTTTTATTTTTATTTATTTTTGTTTACTAGCAGTCTGCTGTTTATTCAGTTCCTAAGGATGTTTAGGATAAGCTTTAAAGTTCCTTTCTGCTGTTTGTGTTGTCTGTGTTTTCTTTAGTTCCTTTTAGGTTTGTTCAATACAAACACGTATTTATGTCTGTATTTCCTCAAATGTCTGCTTAATTGGGCTGTTAATTTATATCCAAGAGGCAGGTACTAAACTGAATTGGAAGCACTATATGTGCATTGATGGATTCACTCCAAGAACATAGGACATTGAGGCGCTTTTTCCTTTGAGAGATTCTTAAATCAGGGCTTTGGAATCCTGGGGAGGGGGCTTTATCTGCTGGTCATTTTCCGTTGTGTTGACACTTAGATGTTGGTTTCCTCTTTTTTCCTGTGTCAGTTATTACTGTTTGCTTTTCATGTTTACAAAATCATCCCCTTGTGTTGCTACTGCTTTTTTCTCCATTTCTCAGCACTTATTAATTTATACCCTTTATTTGTTTACTGTCATTTTAGTGGTATTTCCAGAGGACAAATAGATAAATGCATGCATTCAGTATTCTAGATTTAACTTGAAGTTGGGTAGGTGTTTTTATCTATCATAGAAATTTTTCATATCATGACATAGTATTTGTAATTATCATTGCAAAGAACTCTATAATTTTCTGAGTAAAGATACTATAGTTTACCTAACCTTCTTTTGTTATGACTTTACGTTGCTCTTGATTCAAAGAGCCTCATTTATAGTCACTAACAAATGAGACATTACATGAAAAAATGTTAATAGAGTGCTGTTTTTAAGCTGTATTGATTTTTAGATTTTAAAATGTTTCATCTGTGTGCTCTTATCTGTGTACAATTATGTAGTAAAAGTATTACAATATTATGTCTTAAGAAGTAGCCTGTTGTACTAATGTTTTGAAGAAAAAGTATTTGTTAATTGATAATCAGTAGCACTGGTGTGTTTTGTGATTTACTGTTTTTCTGTATGAAAAGTGAAAATTTTAATAAACATTAAAATAAAATCTTTGGGCAGATTTTAAATATACTAATATCTTAAATTTTTAAAATAAGAAATATAGATTTTATTTTTTACACATGATTTTTTGATTTAGTATTTAGCTTTCATAAAAATTAATTATACTTTTATCTAGCAAAATGAATTAAATGAATTTTAAATGATATTTGTTTTTGGTATCTAAAAGTCATTTTCAATTTTTATAATTTTTAGAATAGGCTTTCTGATATTTATGTTGATAATTATTTTGAAATTTACTATCTGAATTAAACATCATATCTAAAGAACTGATTAATTAAACATGTAGTTTTGTTGTATTATATACTAAATTCATTAACATTTAAAAAGAAAATAATTGTATCTTTTATTAAAAAGCTTACTAAAATTAGTTTTTATGTAATTTCTTCTTACAGTGGTTTTTATCCTATGAGTGCTTTTAGTGGTTATCATGAAATAGGATTAAATAATTTTAGATACTGCTAATATATAATGAACAACTATAATAGAACTTTGGATTCTGATTTGTTTTATGAAAACTAATAATAGATAATATGTTAAATCTAACTGAAAAAGTAAGGAGAATGTGAGTTTAGTTCTTTCTTACCTTTCTAGGATTAACCTGTTTGACATAATATAAATTTAATGCTTATTTTGTCTGCTAGTTTCTTGATCTACATTTTTTTATATATGCATTTTTAAATAATTTTTTTTTTTTTTACAGTTACCTGCCATGGTTTGAAGTGTATTACAAGCTTCTGAATACTCTGGCAGATTACTTGGCTAAGGAACTGGTAGGCTATGTTTTTTTTTTTTTTTTTCCCATTTTTAAAAAATATAGAATATACATAACATAAAATTTACCATTTTAACCATTTTTAATTGTATAGTTTTGTAGCACTAAATACATTTATGGTGTTCTGCAACCATCAGTACCATACATCTAGAACTTTTCATCTTGCAGCTGAAACTCTGTGGCCGTTTCACAGTAACTACCCATTTCCTCCCTGCTCTCAGTCTTGCCAGCCACCATTGCAGAATTGCTGGGTAATATGATAATTCTGTGTTTCACTTTTTGGGGACTACCATATACCACTTTCTACAGTGGCTATACCATTTTATACAAGGGTTACAATTTCCTTATAACCTTGCCAACACTTGTTATTTTCTGATTTTTTTTTGGTGATAGTATCCTAATGGGTATGAAGTGGTACATCATTGTGGTTTTGATTTGCATTTCTCTAATGATTAGTGATATTTAGTATTTTTTTATGTTCTTATTGGCCATTTGGATATCATCTTTGGAGAAATGTCTATTCAAGTCCTTTGCCCTTTTTTTTTTTTTTTTTTTTTTTTTTTTTACTTTTTTTTTTTTTTTTTTTTGAGATGGAGTCTCACTCTGTTGCCCAGGCTAGAGTGCTTTGTAGTCAGCCTAGCTCCCAGCAACCTCAAACTCTTGGGCTCAGGTGATCCTCCTGCCTCAGCCTCCCAAGTAGCTGGGACTACAGGCATGCGCCACCATGCCCAGCTAATTTTTTTCTATGTATATTTTTAGTTGGCCAATTAATTTCTTTTTGTTTTTAGTCGAGACGGGATCTCACTCTTGCTCAGGCTGGTTTTGAACTCTTGACCTGAACAATCCACCCGCCTCAGCCTCCCAGACTGCTAGGATTACAGGTGTGAGCCACTGTACACCTGGCCTAATTTTAACTTTTTAAAAAAAATTTTTATAAAAAGATTTCATTTGCACAGCCATCCCCTGGCCAAGCTGGCCACTGGGGATGACTCACCCATTTTTAAATAATAGTGTTTTCTGATGTTGAGTTGTAGGAATTCTTTATATATTAAGATATTAATCCCTTATTAGATATATGATTTGCAAGTGTTTTCTCCCAATCCATGGGTCGTCCACCTTTTCACTCTTTTGATGGTGTCCTTTGCACAAAAGTTTTTAATTTTGATTGTCTAATTTGTTTTTTCTTTTGTTGCCTGTGCTTTTGGTGTCATATCCAAGAAATCCACCAAATCTGGGTCTTGAAGCTTTCCCCATATGTTTTCTTCTAAGAATGTTATAGTTTTAGCTCTTACAGTTAAGTCTTTATGTCTTTTTCCTAAAAATAATACAGAAACTGAAGTTTGCTTTTGAATTAACAAACTTCTCTGGGATAATAATTTGTAAATTTTTCCCTTTAATCATTCTTTTGCTGGGTTTTAAAAAATTTTTTGGAATATTACAGGGGTACAAATGTTTCGATTACAGAAATTGCTTTTGTACCATTTGAGTCAAAGTTGTAAGTGTGCCCATCACTCAGATAGTGTGCATTTTACCCATCCCCTTCTTCCCCTGCACCTGTTTGATTTCTGATGAATGTTATTTCCATATGTGCACTTAAGTATTGATCGAATGGTTCCAATTTAATGGTGAGTACATGTGATGTTTGTTTTTCCATTCTTGTGATACTTTGCTTAGAAGAATGGTCTTCAGTTCTATCCAGGTTAATACAAGAGGTTCACTATTTTTTTATGGCTGAGTAGTACTGCATGATACACATATTATTAATCCACTCATGTATTGATGGGCGGTTGGGTTATTTCCACATCTTTGCAGTTGTGAATTGTACTGGTATAAATGTTTGGGTACAGATGTCTTTTTTATTGAATATCTTTTTTTCCTTTGGATAAATACCCAGTAGTGGGATTGCTGGATCAAATGGTAGTTCTACTTTTAGTTCTTTGAGGTATCTCCATGGTACAACCATAGAGGCTGCACTAGTTTGCAGTCCCACTAATAGTGTGTAAGTGTTCCTTTCTCTCTGCACCCACACAAGCATTTGCTGTTTTGGAGCTATTTGATAAGAGCCATTGTCACTGGAGTTAAGTGATATCTCATTGTGATTTTGATTTATATGCATTAGTGTTTTTTTTTTAATAATAACTTTTTCTAAATATGCATTTATACTAAATTTAATGTTGCTATTCTTCTACATAAAGGAATTTAGTTTTCTGTATTTATTAGATTTAAATATTTCAATTTCAGTTATTTGAAATGTTTCTGTGGAAAAGTATATAAAATAAGTAATATGGGATGGCACAGGGGGCAATTTTGTTAAATATTTTTAGTTGTATTTGCTTACTATATATTTCGTTTATAAAATGTACTTTTTATTTTGCTCTAGGAAAATGATTTGAATGAAACTCTCAAATCACTCTATAACCACCCAGTACCAAAGGCAAACACTCCTGTCAATTTGAGTGTGGTAAGTATTTAATCAGTAATTGTTTTTTGGAGTCAGAACAATTTCTCACTTAAGAACGCATGCACCTTCAAGAAATTAATTCTTTGCCAGGTCACCTCTGCTTCCAGGAAAACTTCAGCGCTAGTAATGACATTACTAGGCGATAGCATTGAGATTTTTTGCACTGTTGTAATTATCATAACTTGATACATTAGGTGTGTATTTTGATAGCTGTTAAGTTACAAAATTTAAAAAACTTATTAACTGAAAGTAACCAAATTGTGAGGACATTTTGGTAGTAAGAAACATTGATTTTTCAGGTTAAATCCACATGTAATAAAGGAAGACACACAGACACACACACACACACACACACACACATACACACACATACACACTCACACTCTCACTACCCTTCCTAAAATGAAAACAGTAGGAGTAGAAAATGGCATATAACATGTGATAAAAATTCTGGGTGAAAAGTTCTTTCTTCTTTCTCCATACTCCAGTACGTTTTCTAGTGTAATCACAAAACACTGGAAATATGGTTAAAGTTTGTCAAAACAGCAAGCTTGTGGTGGGATAGATTGTTTACTGTACAATTGAAACTTTTGATGAACAGTACTATCTGTATCTAAAAACATTCATTTGGATTTTTTTGAATATTCAAAGTTCATGATAAAATATGAATGTTTTCATTATTCATTTATTTGATGTACAGTATAGAATTTTGAAATTTATTTATATTAATTTTGTTTCTTTCAAAAAATAATCTTTTAATAATTCCATTCTTTAAATCTCCACTGTTAACACCCTTGTTTTCACATGCTAGTACTTCATATAGTTCTTAATCTAGAGTCTCTCCTTCCAGTCCTTTCTACAACACTATCAAGTTAAACTTACTTAAATTATATAAAATCCCCTCCTGAGCATGTTTTGTAGCTCCCCATTTTCTATAGAATTTGCTCAAACTTTTGGCCAGGCTTTCAGGATGATCCACTTAGCTTCAATCTGACTTTTCATTTTTTTGTCTCACTATTTTTTTCCGAGTTGATTCTCCGCTCTGGTCACATTGTTCCGTTCAGTTTGGTGAATAAACATGCTTTCCTTTTGCTCTAAAGCCTCTTTATAGACTATCTGTCTTTATTCTAGAACTAGTTCAATTCCCACCTCGGTGAAACCTCTTGTCATGCAGCATAAACTGTTCTTTCTTTCCTGTGATCTTCTCTGCCGCTTTATGTCTGCGGCTGCATCCTCTTTTGCTGTGCCACTGCCAACGTGGAAATGTTTAGTAGTCATTTGGAGATTGGGGATGGATAGCTAAGGGTAACCTGGACTTTTTAACCCAAATTTGGGAGTCATCAAGGTACATGGAATTTAAAGGAGACTATTGAGAGCATAGAGCTGAGGCCGAGCTCTCGTTGCTCAAATAGGCCATGGGGATGAAGAAAGGGGATCCAGTGGAAGAATCGGAGCAAAGATCAGTTAAGGAGAAACTCAGCCGAAGGCATGCAGGGTTTGTGGTTGGTGGAGTGCAGTGGAAAGGGCAAGGAGAGCAAAGAAAAGCTTTTTTTGGATTTTACCAAAAGAAGTCATCTTTGAAAGCATTGTTTTTATAAAGAGATTCTAATGCTTTGTTAATGAGTTAAGAAAATATAGGTACTAAGATAATAGAGATAATATTAGTGAGAAAGACAAAGGTGTTCTCTTTAAATTTGAGTATCACATTTGCTCAGGGATAAATATCTTAAAAAATACATCTCGAAAATACTGGCTATTAAAATACTTTACCTTTATTAATATGAATCATAAGTCAAAGACTTCTAGGCCTCTCTACCTAAGACTGGAAGATTTTGGTTTAAGTCACAGTCACTAAATGTGTGCTGTTAGGCAAGAAAGTTAATTTCTTTTTTCCATTTGAGAAATTGAGTGAGTCAACTTCTGAGAAAGTTGTTTGGGTAATTATATGAAATGGAAGTATCTAAATATTAACATGAAGAGCTGTTCAGGTGTTAGTTGGCAGTGAATTGAAGTTTCTTATATGAAGAAGATAGTTTTCATTGTAGCGGAAATAATCTTATTTAAAATGTTTGACTATGTACTATTTCTATATATGATAGTGATTTTTATAATTAAAGCTTGCTTTTTATATCCTTTTGAAAAAATAGTCTATGATAGTTTTCAAATCTTGTATACCTATTCTCAGGCTGCAGTATCTTAAGTATTAGTAAAATCAGCTGGTTACTTTTGTGTGAAATTCATTAATAGTTTCATTTGATTCCAATAAAAGACTACTAAAGTAATATGCCTAGTGTTATGCTGTTAATCAGGGGCAAATTTAGGACTAGAATACTTCTCTTTAACTACCAGTAGAGGTTGTAGTTTTATGATGCCAGGTTAAAATTGATCATGGAAAGTGTTGTTCCTGTACAAGTGGGTAGTGGCCACTAGAATATCAGATTTTATGAAAAGTTAATCTCTAATGTAAGTGGTTTTCTGAAACTGTCTTTCAAAATCATTAAACATCCATGGATTCTCTATTTTCACAATATGAAAATACTCCCTTTAGGATTTTTCTAGCATAAAATTAGCAAATCAGCATTTAAAATAACATTTATAATTAATGTTATTCAAGTATTTTTCAATGGCTAACGTAGCTACATGGATTTGTCTCAGATACACAGCAAATTGTTGTGTAAGCCTCCCTATGAAAGTATTCATTTTTCTCTCTCATATATCATAAGAACCAAGAGATATTTATTGCCAGTGAGCAAGTTGTGAAAGATCAGCCCTCTCTAGTACCGGTGAGTTAAAAGGACATTGGCTTCTAAAAATCACTATTAAATTGGAAAAATAATTAACTTCTTTCACTATGTCTTTAAGATTCACTCTAGTCCTTTGGGAAATGGTAAATTTGACTCTTTTAAGAAAAGTAATCATTGGGAATATATTTTCTGATTATGCTATTTTTTAAACCATAGTTTTATGAAAATATAGTAATAGTAAAACCCCTTCAAAATCAAAGTAGCTAATGGAAACCAAATCTATGCATAGTCTTCATTTTCCATAGTAATTTTAAAATATATTCCCAAATGAGCTTTCTGTCATGTATTTTATCAAAAGTTCTTATGCTTTATCTCCTATTGTTCTTCTGCCCTGGAAAATTATATGCTATGATTGTGTCAACTGGCTTTGTTCTGACTAGTTCAACTGTGCTCAAATATGGCCAGAATGTTTCTTTTTTAATCTTTAATTATAAGATGGTATTAAATATGTCCTTATGTGATTAAGATATTAAAATAATTTTGGAGATTGATATGAACAGAAGATAAAACGGTTTTCAGTGATTAAGTTGCACTTTGGTTCTGGGTGGTAGAATTTGGGGACATTGCGGGAAACATGAAGGCACGCACACAGTATGTTCATTACATAAATATTTTCATCAAATGTTATACTGCTTTGAACATTATTGAAGCTAATTTGCATTTGTTTAGTGAATGTGTGAGGCTCATATTTTGGAATAAGAATATTTTTAAGAAGTTTTAAACATTTAAAAATTATGTTTGTTGCTGCTTTCTAAATAATATAGTGGCTGATGTTTACAAAAGAGATTTGTTGTGACTTACCACAAAAACTCAGGAATTGTAATAGATTTTGACATACACTTGGGTTAGCAAGCTTTATTTTTCTAGTCTAAACTAAATGTATTTTAAGAAATACAGGCCGGCCGAGGTGGCTCATGCCTGTAATCCTAGCAGTCTGGGAGGCCGAGGCAGGTGGATCGTTTGAGCTCAGGAGTTTGAGACCAGCCTGAGCAAGAGCAAAGACCCTGTCTCTACTAAAAGTAGAAAGCAATTAGCTGGACAACTAAAAATATATAGAAAAAATTAGCTGGGCATGGTGGCACATGCCTGTAGTCCCAGCTACTCGGGAGGCTGAGGCAGGAGGATCGCTTGAGCCCAGGAGTCTGAGGTTGCCGTGAGCTAGGCTGACGCCACAGCACTCTAGCCCAGGCAACAGAGTGAAACTCTGTCTCAAAAAAAAAAAGAAATATATATATACTTCTATATTTTATGTATATATAAAACTTTCTTAGTTATGTACTTTCCTTAGTCTACCTAAATGTATATTAAGAATATATGCATTTATATGTTATATACATATGAAAAACCATTCAGTACTGTACCCTTTTTACCTTAAAACTCTCCCAGGATTCTTCTTTCAATTTTGTTCAATTTTAAAGTGAAAATTTTTAACACTTAACTTTTTATATAAGAAAGTTGTTAAATTTCATATAAACTTGCTAACTCATTTAAGAATATCTCAAATTCAACAAATCATGAGTGTCAGTCCATGGCCTTTATTAATTCAGTCAATATATTTTTTCTATTTTTATTCTCAAATTATATATAACACCCAAAAATTTTAATTCTCTTTTTCTTATGTGATTTGTTTGTATTGATTAGCATTCCTACTTCATTGCCCCTGATGTAACTGGACTCCCAACAATACCCGAGAGTGTAAGTTTTCTGTTTCCTACTTTAATTATTCTACTTACATAGTGAATTTTATTTATTTTGGTCTCATTGTTTATGGATTTATGTATAGAGAAATAGGGTAGTTTGTAATTATCTGTGTTTATGAGACATCATGGCAAAATAAGAAACAGTGATAATATTTCCTTTTCCTCTTTATATATCTGCCCCATTACCCTCTTAATATTTGGTTTTATGTAAGGAAAATTGAGAATAATTATATGAGAAAACTTATTTTTGTCATTTAAACTAGTTAGGATCATAAACATTTAATTAGGTCCTGAGCCCCCCTGTTATCAGGTAGGAGAGAGATCTCAGGAGATTGCTCTGCTGGTAGGGAGGAATACTAGCAGTGGGAACTGTCTTCACACAAATAATTAATGAAATAACTATAGTATTTTAGATTCCTTGTATGTAATTCTGTTCAAGTCTTAGGTGTCTTGTACTTGATTTCCTGATTTTAATTTAAAGTAATAAATATTTCCTAAGGCTTGAAGAATATTATAAGAAATTATAAAAATAGCTAAATTTTGCATTCTATTTAGAGTCTTAATTGTAGCTCTATCAGGAGTATGTTCAGTGATTCAGTAGTTCTTACAAATTAATAATTTGTAGGAAAAATTAACATGGATAAGCAGAAGTAACAAGTATGCTTTTATGATATCAGATAACTGTGTGAAAAGGAAATATTCCCTTACATAGTTTTCTTCTAGCTTCCCTTGGAAACGTAAAATGAATCAGTAGAAATAATCAAAAGTGAAAGTAAAATCAACAGCAATATAGTATTTCCATATATACTTCTTATTTACTTTAGAATTTTACTGTTTTTTTTTCTTTTTTTTATTTCAGCATATTATGGGGGTACAAATGTTAAGGTTACGTATATTGTATTTTTCTAAATATGTTTTGAAATATATTCAGTGTTTGGTTTCTAAAAGCACACAGGTAGTGAATGAAATCCAAGAAAACAATTGTAAATTCTCTAATATCAAACCAAGGCTATCATGGTGTTTTTGCACAGCTGAATTTAGATAAACCCCTCTGAGAAGACTTTGCATTAAGTTGCTCTTCGTGTGGACTTGAGTTAGACCATCAGAGCTCTCACCTACGTAACAGACCCTGCAGTCCTGACTGCTGTGTGTCGTGGGCAGCTGCTCCCACATTGTCCTTAAAGCTGCCTGGCCACGCCCGGTCTGTGACTCTGGTCCCTTCACTTCAGAGTTTCTGATACAAACTCAAAGTCACTCCCTTCTGCTCTCTCTCTGTTTACCTTCCTCTTACTTCTGTTAACAGACAACTCATAGCTTGATTTACCAAATGCCCTGCATTTTTAAAAAGACCATTGCCTTGAAAGTTTAAAAGAAAACATTCTAAGGAAAAACTGCCACTGAGAATAAACATTTTATTTTGTAAAAAGTCCTGGTTGGGGGAAAATAAAAAGCAAGGACGTAAGCATAAGGCAGCATTCTGTGTTGGGAAATAACTCCCCATGGAAGAAGTATCTTTCTTTAAGATTACAGGAAATATGTTGATGCTGAATGCCATTGACTTTCTGTACGAAGGATAGAAGGTGAGGTGGGCTTCAGATGGAGAAAGCCGGGATGAACGTCCCCTCATCCAACTCGCCATCGCTCACTGGCACTCAGAGATTCTGTTGATATGCTCTGTCATGATTTCCAATTTGGGCTGGTAAAATTTCTGCCTTTTGGAAATTGAAGAAACAGTTGAATTTCTTATTTTCTTTCCCAACTAAAAGTTTTAGCCTTCTGGGTCATAGTCCACCCGGTGCTATACAGTTACAGTTTATTATTGGGTCTTATTCAGTCTCTTCATGGATTCATTGCATTTTGATGCACTTAAGTTTGATTACAGGAAATTAAAAATAAGTAATGAGAAGGAGAGAATTTAAAGTCAAAGTTAGTGTAGCTTATCTCAGCTTTGTTCTTATGTGGGGGAAATAATTTAGAGTGCTAAATTAAAAAATCAGTTTAGAGCATCACCAAATTGTATTTGGTTACAGTGACATAAAGCAAGTCTGACATGGGGTATAAACAAGAGATTTTCCTTAATAACAAGACAAATAACTGCCTTATAGATCCATCTCATCCTCTGGGTGCTGTGTACATACTGTGTAGTATCAGATTGTGATTTTGCCTGTATAACAAATGGCAAACATTCGTTAAATACATTTAACGTTATTGTAACGTTATAGGAAATATAATATATTTATAATTATAATAAATAAAATAAATTCATTATATTTAATACAATATATTTATTATATAATAAACATATTATAATAAATAATAAAATAAATTTACTATATTTGATATATATTTAATACATAAAATATTTATTTATTAAATAGCATTATTTATTTGTTAAAAAAAGATTTAAATGTATTTTCTGGGGTAGTGGATTCTTAAGCATCAGTGTGTCTAAGAATCACCAGGAGTTTTTGTTTAAAAAGCAGATTCTTGGGGGCGATACCCTGAAGATGACAATTCAGCAGGTCTAGGTTGGGGCCCAGGAAATTAGCTTGATCCATGATCCTGTGGTCACACTCCGGGAAACACTCTCCTGGAGTAGGTTATGTGTCAGATAGTAACAACAACATATTATTTCATGCTTCATGTGCAGCGGAGTAGCACTGAATTTAATTGTTGTAATGAATACCATTTTAAATGATAACGTCCTCTGAATCTGAAGACATTCTGGTAAGCACATAGAGTGTTTTCCTTCGTGCGCGTGGAGAGCCGCCGCTCACACAGCTGTTTTCTGCCTGCGCAGAGGAACCTCACGGAGTACTTTGTGGCGGTGGACGTGGGCAACATGCTGCAGCTGTACGCCAGCATGCTGCACGAGCGGCGCATCCTCATCACCTCCGGCAAATTAAGCACTGTGAGTACTTCACACTTCTCCCCTCACGCAGCACGCATCGAGCGCTCCGCAGAAAGGCCTGGAAACCGCGGCAGATTCAGCAGTGTTCCTGTGTGCTTACAAGACAATATCTACATACTTTTTTGATATACGGTTTTAATCTGGCCCTTGAAGTACAAAAGTCTGATTTATAGGAGGCCTTCTCAGATGCATTAAGTCAGGTTAATTATTTTTTCTTATCAAGAGATGAGAGTTGTTTTTTCCCCCCCTTTTTTAACTCTCCAGAGTTCATTTTAGTGCCTTCTACCATATAAAGAATTCTTAAGAGCTATTATGAGATCTTTATTATTCACTTGTGGCTTTTTCCATTGGAGCTACTTGAAAGAAATCAACGGGCCATGATAATAGCTGCTACCCTAACCTGGTAATAGGTGGATTCATCTTTGTTGCCAAGTCGTGGTTTGGGAGTAGCTGCTATAATAGTTTGATTTGGAGGAGCTCTTCAGACTGATAATAACTTAAAAGTCAAAGTAGCATTTTTTTTTTTTTTTTTTTTTTATAAATCATGGGTTTTATGACACTCACTAAAATGTTCTCTTGGAAGGTGTTCATTACTGTGGTAAAGGCAGTGAGAAGAGAAGGATTTTTTTTCAGTTGTAGAAAAATATTCAAAAGTATTTTGCTAGATTTCATAATTTTTTTCTCCTTCAAGCATTAAAAATCTAGTATTTTCAACTTTAATTTTTAACATAAATTAAAATATAGTTTTGAGTAGTCCATGATATCTTTATTAAAAACTGTTTTTCAGTATGACATGAATTTTCTTCACAAATTTGTTTAATTAAAAAAATGTCTTACTCTGCAGTAGTTGAAATAAAAACCTCTTTCCATAATATTTTAGTGTTTTAGAGTAGAAAGAGTTTTAGGATTTCTCTAGGGTATCTGTTTAGTATTTTACCAGTAAGGAGGATATTTGAGAGCGATTACATGGCTGCCCCAAGTCTGAAAAGCTTGTTGGAGACACATTATGTGAAGCTGGGTCTCCTAATTCTCCCTGCAGCAGGATGCCAGGCTGACAAATGTGGTTCTGTTACAATTATGAAAAATCGTGATTGTCAAAGAGTAAGTAACTGAGGCAAACAAAATTCTAGCATTATGAATGGTAAGACGCTTTAACTTGTGTGTGTTCTCCTAATAATTAAAATTTTCACTGTGTACTTTAAAAATGAAAAAAAAAAGGATAAAACACAATTTCTTACATTAACAGGAAGTAATTATTGTCCTATGGTATATAAAAAATATAAGAATGTAAAAAGTTTAAAAGCAACTACTCTTTCCTTAAATGTTTCAGAGATTTCATTAAACAACTCTTAGATAGCTTATTTCTAATTTATGTGAAGGCACCAATCCTTGACCTTAAATGTTACTATGCATAGAATTTATAGCAGATGTATTTTTATGTGTACTGTATATATAAAGGAATTGTTCAAGATAGATTCAAGTAAAGCAGCTTCCCCCACATAAGAAGGGTGAGAAGATCATGAAAGAGAACTTGAATTATGTTTTTTTTTATCAGTTCAACTGCCCTGGAGAGTGAACCAAAACAGAGCTGGTAACTCAGAGGTGCCGTCACCACTAGGTTTTCCTGAACTGTCATAAACACTTGATCTTCAGTTGACCTCGAACATAGGAAACAAGTCCCTGAGTAACACCAAGCCATTATGATAACAATTTGTTTTTTAAGGCAAATATAAAAGATAGCCATGTTAATGTTTACTCTAAACTACAGAACTAGACTCTTATACAATTATACCTAATAATAATTAAACATCCTGTGCAGATACAATTCTAAGAATTTCTCTTATATGTTTCCTTAATCTTTATAGCAACCCTATGAGATCAAGACTACTAATACTCCCACTTTACACATGAAAAAAATTGAGTCAAAGAGAGACTACCCAGCCATTGAGAAGTGGATATAAATTAAAACAAAGGAAAACTTCAATGTCTTTCAAAAGCAAATAGTTAGATTTATTTTTAATGTCTTCACAAACAGAGCAGCTTGTACTTCATCCACATAGCTCACTCCCTCACTGTCTTCAGATCCCTGCTCAGACCCTACTCCTCAGAGCAACCTCTCTTCCATCACCACCTTAGTAAGATAGAGACCTGCCCCCCAGCCCACCCCGCACACATTCGCTTGCGCATTGCCCTAATGCACTCACAGCCATAGGACTTAATAGCTATTTATTGGTTCATTTGTTTATGATCTTTCTCATCCCGGTTGGACATAAGCACCAAGCGAGCTTAGGCTTGACTTTGCTTATTGAATTCTTAGTGCCTGGCACATGGTATGTGCCTAATTAATATTGGTTACATGAGGTAATCCTGATATGAATAACCTAGGCCTATAAGACAAGTTTGTATAACTTTTTAAATCATGATGACAATATTCACACACACACACACACACACACACATATATCTCCTTTATAATCTTAAGAAAATCATGGTTAAAAATGAGGAGGAGCAGCAGGAGGGGTAAGAAGAATGGTTTTACTTTAATGCTAAGTTAAAGATATCAGAAAAAGAAATACATAAAAATACAACATGATTCAGACTGAATTTCTTCACATCTCTGTAAGATGGGTGAGAAAAAAGAAATAATTGCTTCACTGACTAGTACTTATTTTTTGATATTACTACATCATTTCTCCAAACTTACTCTTTTAAATGCATATATTTTTTCAGCATGTAAAATATATTTTCAATTTTCTGTGAAAGTGGGCATATCAGTACTACAATTTAAAATCTCAAAATTGTATTTTTTCAATTGTAAGGTAATGGAAATAACTCAAAAAGTGTATGTATGGTAACATTTGAGGTCAAGGATTAGTGCTGTAACATAGATTAGAAATAAGCTATTTAAGAGGAGTTTAATGAACTGTCTGAAACATCAAAGGAAAGAATAGTTGCTTTTAAGCTTTTTACATTGTTATATTTTTTATATACCATAGAGATTATAATGTACTTCTTGCTATAAGGAATTGTGTTTTACTCATTTTTCATTTTTAAAGAACACAGAATTTTAATTATTGGGAGGACACATATAAGTTAAAGTGTCTTAACACCGGTAGTGCTAAGATTTTGTTTGCCTCAGTTATTTACTCTTTGACAATCATAATTTTTTACGGTTATAGTAGAATCATACTTGTTAGCCTTACATCTTGCTACAGGTTTTAGTGGTGATACCCTGGTAGCAAATTAGCTAGTTTAAGGGTTCTTCAGATGCTCTTTGTAGCTAAAAAAAATCATAATTTGTACCTTTATAAAGATAAACTTTAAAAAATTTTAGTTCTAAGATATATAAACAAATATATAAAAATATTTAATATTTTTAAAATTTTAATGGGTCCCCCCTCTGTATTTTAAAATATGGCGTTGTATTAGGACCTATTATTATAGTTTTGCATGTTTGAGATTAAGGAATTGGGACATAATCATTTTTGTTTTCATCCTGTTGACTTACATATTAGCGAGTACACAGGGGAAGGTTTCTGGTAATCCTGAACAAGACATTGATTTTACGCATGCTGTAGGCAGGCTGTAGGTGTCAGCCCCGAGTGAGTCTTGGCAGACGAGCAGAACATCATATCAGTGATGCAGAGGAATAAATCATGGTGTTACAAGCGTCTATCAGTTGACTTATTGCTGTTTTGTGACCATAGATAGGGAGGATTGCTGTTTAAAGCCATGTCATTGGCTCTCAAATCAGCCAGGCATGAAGCCTTGTCATATGCCTCTATAATTGTGCTTCAGCAGACTTTCTCTAACTAGTCAGCTGGGGCTGTGCATTTTGTCTCAGACACCCGGCTGGCCAGCATCTGACAGGAGCGCTCTCATCATCCTGTCAGTGATATGTTAACTAGAGTGCATCTCTGTGGCCTGCAGAAGCAGGTGGAAAGGATGCCTCTCTTGAAAGCAGATGTCTAAATGTTAGCTATTATTTTGACCAGTGTTTCGTTGGTAAACGTTACCCTCTTAAAGCCCGTAAGCACATTAGTTACGGAGATTTGATTGTGTAGTGTGTGTTATTTTTGGAATATGTAGAGCAAGCAATATGCTGTGGGTGCTGGAGTTATGCTAATAAACTGTAATTTCTCCCTTTGTGCGAGTCACCCCCAGGCATCGAAGCATATGCTTTTCCCTCCTCCTCTCGTTAATTCCTTGGAGGGCACGTGCAGAAAGAAACCTTGTGATCTCTGGAGCACCAGCCATTAAAATGCAGATTTTATAGGTTTAGTCAGACTGAAAGGGAGTCCGGAGGATTCTAACCTCTTCATCTGGATTATACATATTCTTGATTTGTCTCTTGATGGTACCACCTGTATCAGCATTTGCTCCGAAACCTTGACGCACAGAGACTCTTTCTGGAGGCTAGGAATTGGACGGTTGGCGAAGAACAAAGATTGCCCAGGCCTTCTCCGCTGTTGGGGTTATCGAGGTGTATTCATGCCCCTCCTGTTTGTAAAGCTGCAGCAGAGAGGGGCAGCTAAAAATTGTTACCAGAAGATCTCAGGGAGAGAGATTCTAGGAACAATTTTTAGATTTTTAATTCTTCCCCAAACCCATAGCAACCAGTTATGTCAGCTGAAATTACAGACGATGAGTCCACTTACTGGTGTATTATCTGGCATGCACACTGCTGTCCTGAACACTGAGACTGTGAGTGCCGTGTGGAGACGGGCCTGCTGAGGCCGCCTGGAACTCTGCTGGGAAGGGGGGTGGCAGGCGAGCCGGAGGAGACAGGGAAACTGGAAGTGTTTGTATCTTTCAGCTTTGGTGGTGCTAATAGCTCTGGTTTTCATGAAAATAAGCTCATATTTCTACCTTATGATTTGGTACATTTGTCTTCTCAGAGTAAACAATTGGCTTTGAATTCACAAAGCAGAATTTTTACTCTAATGATTATGGGATTATCTAAGGGGTATATTAAATTGTCATTCTTTTAGGTTCTGTAA